AGCAGTAAAGAGAGCAGAGGTTGCCAGGGGTTGAGGGCGGGAGAAGTGCTCAAGATTTTTAGGGCAATGACACGATTCCATACGATGCCGTAATAATGGGTGCATGTCATCAGACATTTGTCAAACCCCATAGAATGTCCCACAGCACGAGTGAACCCTGGTGGAAACTAGGACTTCGGTCAATGCCGCTGTGTCAGCATTGTCTCAGCAGTTGGAACGAACGTACCGCCCCAGCATAGGAGGTCAATAAAGAGGGCATCTGCGGAGGGGAGGGGAGAGTATAGAGCAGTTCTTTACTTTGTGATCGATTCTTCCGTAAACCTAAACATGTTTCCCAAAGGCTATTAATTAAGTACCTGTGCATTCAGTTTGATACTTATATCAGTCGATTGATGAATAGAGAGATAGGTAGGAGGGAGAGACTAAGCAATTCACCCAAGGCCAAACTGCTAACTGGGGAGGAGGGAAGATGTGAACCCGGGACTGTCAAGTCTTTCCGTGGCCCCAGCCCCAAGGGGAAGGTCTGCCCACATTCCTGCTGCCTTCCATGTCTGCGCCGGCCACGACGCCCAGCAAACTGCACATCAAAGGGCCAAGCCCAATATTTTGGTTGGCACCAGGGGAGCAGGGACAGGGAATGGGGCCGAGAACCCAGGGGAGGAAAAGGGAAACCCCTGATGAGGAGGAGGAGACCTGAGCTTCTCCAGCAGCTGCCAGGGCCTCGGGGAGGGAGGCCGGGCACACGAGTGCAGCCACAGCTGCCCTCACTGTCCTCAACCCCAACCCAGCCTTGAGTGACCAGCAAGCTGGGTGACCCCACAAGCCTCTGGCCTCGGCTTTCTCGTCTCGGGATACAGGACACCAGATGATAGCCTTTTAACCGCTTGTTTTCTCTTCAGCCTCCGGAGAAAACCGGAGACAGGGCAGGACAGGAAGGAGGGAAAGACAAACCTCATGGTCCTTGCCCAGTCTGAGAAGAGGCCCCTCCCTTCCCAAGAGTAATGCTGGGAGCCCTGAGCGGGCTGCTGACTAGAACAGTCAAAACAATGATGACAGCTGCAGGAAGGCCTGTGACATGGTTAGAGCCCCAGGCCAGGGCTGCCCCCGCCAACATGCCTCCAACATCTTTGACGAGGACCATGGTATAGGTAGTCACAGGCTTGGTAACTCACAGTGATTACCCCAACATTCTCCTAGAGTAAAACCCCAGGCATAAAAGGCACAGGGCTATGAGGACATGTCCCCATAGTGCTCAGGGAACACGGCCTCCCTGTGGTCCTTCCTCACTGCCCCACATCCATCACCTGTGCCCAGCGCAGATGTGCCTGTCTACGGCCTTTGCTCTGGGCCCCTCCGCCCATCTTCAAGGCCTGGAAAACTCCTACTGAGCTCAGCTCAAAATCCCCTCTTCCAGGAAACCTTCCCTGCCCACGTCAGGGTCTCTTCTGGGTCTCACTAACTCCTGTGCCTCCTCGGATCCCAGTGCTAATCATTGTACGGTGACTTCTAGAACAGGGCAGACTTATGCGGAATTCAGGAATAAGAAAGGATCTGTGGCAAAGTGGGGGGGACACGGGGGCTCTAGGTAGGGGGACAGCACAAGGAAAGCCTGGTGGCTGAGAGGCATGAGCAGGGCTGAGGGCGGCCCCAGGCTCCAGCCAGCAAGTGAAGCCCCATGTGGGCACCATATGGGGGAGGGGGGGCTGTTGCCAACAGGAGACTCCTCGCCCTCTGGGAGCCCAGGGGTAGCAGGGCACCTCCAGGTCACCCATCAAGATACCAAACCCAAACCCACTCAGACAAATCCCTGGCTCTGGCTCAGTGGCAAAAGCTTGGGCTCTGCAGGAGGCTCAAAGAATCAATCAGGCCGTAATTAGGGTCATTATTCGTCTCTTTCCACAGTGGTGCCAGGGCTGCCTGTTTATCCAACACTTCCGTGCCAGGAGACCTCTGATTTCCCTTCCCCTCCAAGCATGCCAAGCCAGACTGATATTCCGGGCTGGCTCCAGACCCCAGCAATGGGCTCCCCAGTTCTTCTGCCCCTCCTGGCCATCCTCCTGCAGAAAGGGCTCTCTGCTTCTCCCTCGGGATGGGATGGCTTCCTTGGAACTGTGGCCTCAGGGACGATTTATCCCCTACCTAAAGCTCTTGAGCTCCCTCAGTCTATGTTTAAGAAGCCTCTGCTCTGTGACAGGCCCTGCTGGGAGCCAAGAATGATTCACAGAGAATGAGACACAAACCTTCCTCTCGAGGAGACAAGCATGCTGCCCAAATGGCAGCTACAGCTACAGCCCGCGCCCGGTGCTTTCCAGGGCACGCGGGCCTCCACACACCCGCTCACAGAGCATCTGGCCAGCTCCGCAGGGAAGCAGCAGATCCACGATTTATGGATGGACGGGGAGGAGAGGCTGGTGGAGGCTTGGATAGGTGTGCCGAGCTTCAGTGAAGGCCTTACAGGGACAGACCCAGGGGTCTCGGGCATGTTTGTGGCTGCAGTCTGGACAGGAGCCAGGAAGGGACCCTACCTGGGGAACCTGGCTTCTCTTGACATAGGCGGGACCAGTTTCCCAAGTCAGGACTATGTGTGTGGGCTGAGTAGATCACAGGAATGACCTGGCCTTGCCCTGAATGTGGAGCTTAGCATCTCAGAACTTAAAATCTCTAGCTCCAAGCTCTCAAAACCAGGGTCTTAGAATTGACTCACTCAAGATTCATACAATCACGAAATCCTGGTGCAGTCCAACAGGGATCTAAGAACTATCCTTGGATTTTCAGACTATCTTTGGATTTCAGACCATTTCAAATGTCAGCAGAGAAAGATCTGGAACATTCCATCCAGCCACCCTTCTCATGCAGAAATCCCCTGTACAGCTCCTAGGGGTGGTTCCCCAGCACAGCGGCCTGTGTGGGCTTGCATACATCCTGTGATAGGCCCCTCCCTCCCTAGAGGGCTGACTTCTTCCCCCCTGAAGCTGCCAGGACCCCTACTGCTGCTACCCACTGGCACTGACAGGTTCTCCCCGGAGCAGGCAGAGTGAGCAAATATTCTCAGGGCTTCTGGCAGGGCCTCAAGAATCAGCCTGGGGGCTTGGTGAGGGGGAGCCTTCCATCAACCTCTCGTCTCGGCTGACACCCCAGTCCCTCCCAGGAGCACAGTGATTCAATCACAGGGACTAGGCTGACTTTTTCCGAGGCCTCTCCCTGGGTCCTCGTGAAGGGGGGCACCCAAATGGGAGGAAAAGGAGAAAGCTGAGTATGGCAGAGACTTGCACTGAGCAAATCTGTCCCTGCCCAGTTTTTAACCCCCGGAGGTAATGGAGAGCAATGATTTATTTTATTTATTTATGTAAAACAGCAGTTATCATACAAACGGGTTTCCCAAGCAGGCCCTTGGGGTTGGGAAGAGAAGCAAGGCCTACCACTTAAGGAATCTTTCTCTTGCTTCCTTCCCCTTATATCTACCTGCATAGCCTCACCTCCCCCTTCCCCCTCTTCACAGCACTCTGCTCCAAGCGCACCACATTATCCCGTCTCCCCACCTCCACACCTTTTGCTCAGGTGGGCCCTCTGCCAGGAAAGCCCTCCCCACCACTGCAGTTCAAGTGCTATCCATCTTAACAAGGACCCTGTGCAAAGCTCGGTCGGACCCCCACCCTCACCCCCCAGAAGCCCACCGCCTCCTGTCTCTGTGTTCCCGTCATCTGGCAGAACTCTCCAGACATGATCGCAGGCCTCCGTGCCCAGTAATTATCTGCTTCTGTAGTAGCTGCCTTGCCTACCAGGCAGGATTTCAGAACCATTTAGCCAAGCTTTTCTGAGGAGCCCAGTGTCTGTGACCCTGCACAGGGCGATGGGGACACAAGATACCCCAGTCCCCATCCCCATGAGGGGAGTCACTGTGCAGGGGGCCTGTGCCTCTGCACTGGGCCTGGCACCAAGGAGGCCGCAGGGTTATCTGTCAGTCGGAAAAGCTGGTTGAATGTGCAGCAGCAGGAGAGGAGATCAGAGCCTCTTAAACCACGCAACTGCGTAGCCGTTTCTGAGCCCTTTCCACTTCTGCTCCTGAAGAATAATTAGCCTCTCCCAACTGACAAGAAAAAAGGTTACTAAAAAAAGTCTCAATTAAGTATTTTCTCCCACAATTTTTGCTTAACTCCCTGAGATCTGTTTATACACATCTGCTCTGGGTCTAGAACAAGATGACCTCAGCCTTAGCACAGAATACCGACTTCCTGTTACTCTGTCTCTCTTCATCGTGGTGTCCTGTGAAGGACAGGGGCCCCTCTACTTCCAGGATGTCTGAGAACCAGGGGCCTAACCTTTTCTTGCCTCCTTTCAAATGTCTAGGTCTCCCTTCCGTAACCAAAGAAAACTGGACTTACTTGAATGCTGAGGAAGAAAGCTGCAGGAATATGCTGGCCCAGCATGCCTTGAAGGTTCATGCCAGTTCCATGATTCAAGACCTCCAGTTCCACCATTTGCTATTCATTCCTTTGGCTGAAGCATCACTTTCTCTAGGATTATCTTTTAAAATACCGATCCCTCCTAGAAATGGGAGCCCTTTAAACTCCCAAATTGAGGGTCAAGGAAACTTAGTTTAATATATGGCTCTAAAGGCAGGAAATCACTGGGACTGAGAATGTGCACTGAGAGCCAGTCTGCCTGGGTTTGAGACCCAGTTCTACCACCTACTAATTGGTATAATACCACCAGACCTCAGCCTCCTTATCTATAAAGTGGGGATAATAATAGCACTTCATGGGTTGTCATGGGGATGAAACGAGCTAATATGTGTCAGGGGCTTAGGCAAGTCCCTGGTACACAGGAAGGAATGGTCTACAAGACAGCTCTACTGAGAGCTTCTGATTATTATTACTCTGGTTTTTTTTGTAAACTGCACGGCACTGTCCCCGTTAGCAGCCAGCGTGCTGCCCTCTGTAGCTTGTCTCTAATCTCCCCCTTCCCCACCGCCACCAACACTTCCCTTCGCTTTTCTTTACCTGGAAGAAGGTATCAGTGGCTGTGACCAGGACTCCTGAGGATGTTCTGTCCACAGAGGTGGTGATGTCACTTCCCTGGAACAGCTGAGGGGACAAGGGGACAAACCCAGTCAGATCACTCATCAGTCCATCCTGCCTTCTCCTCTCCTACCTGACCCTCTGCAAGTCCCCACGCGTGCCCACCCTGTGCTGAGTGTGGGCCCCAGGGATGGGCCACACCTTGTCACTGCCCAGGGAAGCTGCCGAGCTGACGGGGGGATTGTGTGGGGGGGACCCCACACAAGCAATCCTATCCACGCATGCTGCCCACAAACCAGCCCTAACCCCAAACACAGGGAGCCAGTACCCCGAACCACTCCCGCCCCCTCCGGAACCCACAGAAACGCAACCCAAGTCCCAGCTGCCCTGGAGAGAGACTGGGGCTGCTTGTGGCTCCTGGGGTGAGGGGGCTGAGGTCCTTTCGTGCAGCCCAGAGACCTGCTTCTCTGGAGGTAGCCACTGAACCAGCTGCTCTTCTAACCCAGCTACCGAGGGAGGGCCAGGGGGCTGGAGGCGGGATCCGGGGCACCGCAATTATGTGGCTAACTTCTGACTCATGTGCTGCCTCCCCTATCCCCAGCTCCTACAGCTAGCGGGGCAGCCCTCCTGTCCACGAACTGGGAGGAGAGACGATACCCATAGGCCGTGGCAAGAAAAGGAGAGAGGAGGTAGCCCTGGGACAGTGCCGCGGGCTTGCGAGGATGCGGCCACATCACCCACAAGGGCTGGCGTGGCTGGGAGCCTCCCTGGGCCTCTCAGAGAGTCAGAGGCAGAGCTAGGCCTGGGACCTTGGCCTCCTGCTGCTGTGCAGACCCACGATAGGGGTGGCTCAGGCCCACTGCCCAAGCCCATACCAACATGAGAACTCTGATGCCATCGGGTCCTGGAGTCACACGCTGGCGAGAAACACACAGCCAAGGCTCAGCCTCAGACCAGAGCGGGATGGAGCTTAGAAGTGACATCGAGCTCCTGAGACACAGACCCCCAGGGCACCCGAACCCTGCCTCCCTCTACTTGCAGTCCCCAGCTTTCTCCTAGTGCTACCGTCTACAAAGCTTTCTTATTTCTTGTGTCTCCTATTAGGACCCTAAGTGACGGATGGACTATAAATAGAGCAGGGCATCTCAAACTTCAACGTGCAAACAAATCACCTGGAGACCTTGTTAAAACACAGTCTGACACAGTGTTTTCTAGGAGGTCTAGACCAGGACCTGAGATTCTCCATTTTTTTTTAAGATTTTATTTATTTATTTGATATATAGAGAGAGACAGCAAGAGAGGGAACATAAGCATGGGGAGTGGGAGAGGGAGAAGCAGGCTTCCTGCTGAGCAGGGAGCCTGATGCAGGGCTTGATCCCAGGACTCTGGGATCATGACCCAAGCTAAAGGCAGATGCTTAACAACTGAGTCACCCAGGCACCCCAAAAACACAGTTGTTAATGCATGCGCACTGGGGTCAAACTGTCCAAGTTAGAATCTTGACTCTTACTGTGTCACCTTGGGCAAGTTACCTAACCTCTCTGTGCCTCCATCGCCTTATTATAAAATAGCAACAATGACAACAGTATTAAACCTGACTCATAGGGTTGATGTGAAGATTACATTATGTAAAATGCTTAAAGTGATTCTTCTTTCAAATTTAAAAATGGAGATTCTGAGAGACGGACACAGCCAGCAAGGTGGCAGAGCCAGAATTCAACCCCAAATCTCTTCACACACATCCTGAGACACCAAGCCATCACAGAATGCCACAGCCAGCAATTCTTCCTCCACACGTGGAGACTGAGGCCCAGAGAAGGGTGGGGAGCAAATTCATGAGAAAGTTGGTGTCACAAATCCAGGTTGATGACTCCCAGCTTCCTGCTCTTTCCACCTCACCATCCTTCTGCACTGAAGGGAAAGTGACACAGATTCTCTCTGAGGGGTCCCAGCTTCTCCTGTCAGCCTGCACATGGCTGGTAGCTAGCCTGGAAGCCAGATGTGGGAATGGCGCGATGTGGAAGTTGCCTGCCTGCCCACCGTGGCCCAGGTTTCCCTGTACTCTCAGAGCCCTGCCCAGCAGGCTGGGTGAGAACAGTCCGGCGGCCTCCTTCCATCTCCATCTCCTCCTACCTCCAGTCTCTGGCACTGTGTGGTCTCGGGGTCCCCCAGCTGGGGTGGCAGGCAGAAAGAAGGGGACATGGCTTGAGCCCGGCTCCACCCCCACCTTGGCTTCCAAGCACGGGGCCAGTGGGAGCCTGTGAGTCACTTCAAGGAAGTGCTTGGCCCCAAACAGGAAGTGGCTCTTCTAGCTGAAAACCCCTTCAGGATCCCCCAGGCCCCTGAGCAGCAGGTGGCTTGGGGAGCAGAGCCTGAAGAAGCTGCCTGGGATACAGTAACACCTATTTGGATTCTACCTGAAACTCAAACACGGCGTCCATCCCTGGACTGTGAAACGTGGCCAGGGGCTTTTTTGCTATGTGATCTTAGGTACATCAGTGCCCTTCTCTGAGCCTTTATTCCTTCATCTGCAGGATGTGGGGCAGCATTACAAGACTGCCTAAAGGGACGCCTGGGTGGCTCAGTCGGTTTAACGTCTGCTTTCAGGTCAGGTCATGATCCCAGGGCCCTGGGATCGAGTCCCATGTCGGACTCCTTGTAGGAAGCCTGCTTATGCATGCATGCGTTCTCCCTCCCTCCGACAAATAAATAAATAAAATCTTTAAAAGAAAACAAAAAACAAGACTGCCTATGGCCTGGCATTCCATGATGAAATGAAGGGTTGGAGGAAGCGAATACGGGTTTTAAATAAGTGAGAAAATGCATATATGAATGAAAGGCATTGAGTAATGTGGACACATAGATTGAAACACCCGCTAAAGGACAGGGTCCATCATTTATCTGCTCTTAGCTGTACGATAGAGATCTCACCGATGAGATCTCCTCCCACCCCCTGAATCACCCTGAGGCACAGGGAAGAAAGGCCACTGCCCAGAGCCCACACATCACAGAAACAGGCTCACAAATGAACATGGTAGAGAACATACGGGAGCCACGGGATATCCGTGGGACGCGCAGGAGTAATCTGCTCCCCTCACGCCACTCAGGCCCCCCTAAACCCCTTCTCCATTCCTTGGGCATGAAGAACAAAAGGTGATTCTGTCCAGATGAAGAACTGTGGGTCACTTTATTACTGATGGGGGAGAGGGACACTGGGTGGTGGTGGCCCAGGTTGGGGGGGAATGGGAGGGGACCAAGAAGCAGGAAGGTTTAGGGGCAAATTCAACTTGTCTAATCCTTTCTCTCAGACTGCAACGAGCAATGGCCTCTTGCATAACAGAGTATCTGTTTCCCAGGAATGCCGAGCAACTTTATTATTTATTTATTTTGGGCTTTTCTCCCTGTTCCACTTTGTGGTTCTAAGAGGGTGGTGCCCACAATAAATGCACAAAGTGGCTGAAGAACATGCTACGGTATCTTAGAATTCCCATCACCCTGATGAACGTGACACAAAATGGGACACAAATTCTTTACATTGACATGAAAGGCTGGGACTGAATGGTTTCAATTCTATAAATGTTCAAAAAGTTGAATATTTCATCTCTATTCAAATGATTTTATTTTAAAATCTGATATTCATTGATTATAATGTGTATAGTTTTGATTTCCATACATAATTTCAAGGCATAAAAATTATTTTTGAAGAGACAGGTTCTCCTTTCTTTGCATTTAATTTACATTTTTGATGGAAATATACTCAAATTCCACGCACCTTAAAGATCACGGCATTTTGTTTTGACCCTTCAGATGGTTACGATCGGCACCTGATTTTCAAATGATGCACAAATCCTGATTATAACACTGTAACTGTGGCAATCTCGCTACAATGAACAAATATATTTTATGAAATGAATAAGGAGTAATGTCTTAACCTCTCATCGAAACATCACCGGCCTACCAACAAAACACCCAGATGTGCACTTGTAATTATGTTCGGTCTTCTTTGCTATTTTGTCAATTTCAGTTGTATAAAATCCTCACTTTACATGTATATTTCAATTTCTATCATGAAGATATAATTGTCAAGGTGAGAAAATCAAATTAATTGTCTGGGCTTATTTTATAACCTTCAAATACCCGACAGAGATCTACGGGCCTCTATTTGTATTTCTGCCCTGGGCCCTGCACACTTCCAGGGCCTGCCTGTCTACTCTCTGCTCCTCAGGGCGGTGGCAGGGAGGGTGGGGTGGCGAGCAGGCAGGGAGGAGCCAGGGCCTCAGGATAGGTCTTGCAGTACCCTAGTCGTTAAGCCTGGTGAGAATAAGACCCTGAACATCTGAGCAGAGTACGAGCCCCACAGACAGCTGTCAGATGTGCTAGTGATTAACAGCAGTGACGGAGTACTCAGCTACCCAGCTCAGTCCATCCCGATCACGGTGAACTTAGTTCAGGTTCCAAGTTAGACAGGGCTGGAGGCTGGAGCCAGGTCTCCCAGCTGGGGAGCTCTGTGGGATTCTGCTTCTAGAAGCAGCGAGAGAGCACATGGGCATGAGGGAACAGCGGAAGCACAAGGAAGCTCTCAGAAGGCCCCATGTCGTGCGGACCATGCTGTTGTACGGCACCTCTTCCATACCACCCTTTCTAACAGGCGAGAAGAGCTGTCACTTATTGGAACTTCCTCTGGGCCAGACTCCAGGTGATCAGCTCCATATACACTCTATTGGAATATAATCCACAGATGAATTCTCAGGAGAGGCCTCTGTCATGCTTCACACACGTTCCCTGGATCCCTTTACGGTTCAGGGGCACACCGGCTTGCACGATCCCTCCTAGCGGCCAACGTGTATGGAAGTGTGTGGGCAGACCACCCAGAGCCTCCGGAATCCCTTCACTTGCAGTCATGGTCATTCCCTGGGGCCCCCTTTACCACGACCACCTGGGTAAAGGTCTGAGTTCTCCGGCATCCTTGCTCTGGCAGTCAGCTCTGGTCCCCTGTCCCCAGAGCTCCCATGTAGACTGAGCCAAGCACC